CCCCAGCCAGCCATGTTGAAGTCCACTCATCTTAAAGTGGCCAAGTTTGGACAACACTGGCTTACAGCTTCTGAGTTGGAAAGTGGTTTCCACACAGAAAATCCACCCCAGGCTCTCGTGCCCTAAGCTTCATTGGCTGGAGTTTTCCCTTGCTTCTGGTATCCTAGGTTGACTTCTCCTTCTCTCCCCACAGATCATCCTGGCCCTTGGCAACTACATGAACAGCAGCAAACGCGGCTCTGTTTACGGGTTCAAACTGCAGAGTCTGGACCTGGTAAGGGAAGAGGGATGAAAAGGGGCCATATAGTATGATCCATATGTCTGTAAAAAGTAGTCATCTGGTTTTGCTTAGAGGTATCCTGAGGAGGAGGAGGTTAGTAATTAATGTCCTGCCACAATGTATAGCATTGTGCATCTTTTTACACTACCCATGCCTCTGAATTCTAACAAGTGAATGCATTTCCCCCAGGGCATCCCATGTCATCCATGTCCATGTCCATGCCCATGCATGTAACTAAGCAGATGAGATTGTTTGTGTTCACATGCACATAGGCTTTCTGCCTGTCTAAAGTTTGCACACACTGATGCTGATATCTTGATATTCTGTTCTTCCTTATTTCTGTCCTGAAAGCTGTTGGACACCAAGTCAACCGACCGGAAGCTGACTCTCCTACATTTCATTGCCATGATGGTGAAGGAGAAATACTCTGAGTTGAGCACCTTCTGGCAGGAACTGCACTTTGTGGAAAAAGCAGCTGCAGGTAAAGGGTTCCCTCAACATGGGCCAAGGCAACCATAAATGCCAACTTTGTTTCACCCAGGTCTCAGTGAGGACCCCTTGAGTTGCTTTATCTCCAGCCTCTCCTTCATACACAAGATCAGCAGCGTTTACATCATCTAGAGATCATGTGCACTTTCTGTGTATGCACAAGCTCCTGGCTTTGACTTACAGTACTGGAAGAATCATGATCTGACTTGTAACTTCCTGCAGTCTTATGTAATATACCCCATAATGTGTGAAACAGGTGTTGCTATATATCAGTTAGCATACAGATTGTTACCAGAAAGGGTGATGGGGAAGCAAGGCAGGCACTAAGCAGACTGATAGGTGTGCTGGTACGTGTGTGTGTGTGTGTATGGAATATAATAGGAAACTGAATTTCCTGTTGCTAAGTCACTCAGATTAAAAAGTGGATTTGAGACTAAAGCTTTCTAACAACTTAGAGAATGGTGGCCCTCCAGAGAGGTTGGGCAACGATATTTGCTTGCAGTGATCCTGGAGCTGATGGGAGTTGGCATCCACCATTCAGATCTGGAGGGTTAAGGAGCTCCATGCCCCCGCTGAATAGGGACAGATCAGTCCTATTGGTCACGGGGTCTCCTGACAGCTGCTGCTCTATCAGCTTGAGACTGGCTGCAGTAAACCACAGCTTTCTGTCCTGGAGATCAGCTGTGCTAATGCACAGAGAAAGCTGTCTGGGTTTCTTTTTGTAGGATTCAGCAGGCTTCCGCCAATTTGCTGGGTTCAGGTGACACAACTGACACGTTCTGCCACTCCCCCTGTGTAAATGACTTATCAAGTGACCCAGCGGAGTTCAAACTAATCTGAAGCTGCCCCAGTGATATCAGGAGCAGCCTTCTCGGCCACTGTTCCAGACTTTGTTGTGCAGCATGCTAGATGTAATTCTTTTGCAGCCCTAAAATGATAACATAAACAGCTTTGATGGAGTTGGCGATGCCTTGTAACAGCTGGTACATGGAGCAGAGGGGGTGCAATTCAGAGGAGAGAGTGACAGAGAAGCCCAATTGCGCAGGGCTGCTGTGCAGGTGGCTGGAAGAGAGGGCTAAGCCTAGCAATCTTCTCTTCTGGGTTTGCATAACATAAACAAGCTGGGATGAGGTAAGTGACTCAAAACTAACCAGGATTCTGACTGCTGTGAAAATGAGGTTTCTGATTGATTCACACAGTATGCTGGATCTTTCAAGGTCTAGGTTAACCAAGTTTTGTGAACCCAGCTCATTTCAGTACGCACACAAGATCAAAAGGTTTACTTCTGAAGATGAAAAGGTTTACTTTTCCTTGGTGTCTATGAATGGTTTATAACCAGTGGCATGCTGATAAATGTATAACCACCAACTCTGCTGGCTCCATTGCTGCTGCCAGCCGCTAAACAGCTGATTGATGTGCTAGGCGTCGTGGCTCAGCTCTGCTCTCAACTGACTTGCAAAATTCTGAAAATTTAACAGTTGGCTCTCACGAGCTGGTACGAGCTGGCTCCAGCACACCATGGTTTATAACAAAACTTTCTATGTGCTCAGTGAGGAATTCACAGTACAGCTCATTATACAACCTGCCTCCCCCTCCCTCTGACAGACTTCCCATGCAATTCTGTGAGGGGGTGGAGTCAGTCTGTAGCATCTCAGGAAAGCCTCAGTGCCCCAACTGGGAGCTCTGGGAAGTGTTGTGTCAATACATTTGAAGGGTCCAGAGTGGGAAAGGCCATGTTTATGTAAGCTGGAGTGAGAGATGATTGGGGAACAGACTATACAGAATCCATGCTTGTTTTTAATTAGTGCATGTATATCTGTGTACCATTATTAATGGACAAGGTTCTTTGATGAGTAATGTACACAAAGATCACTGATCTTGAGAAGGTTGAATGTTGAGAATGGGAGTGGGAGATGGAAAGAGGTGAGGACAAGAAGTGATACATCAAGGAGAGATGTAGAAGGGCTAAAGAATTAAGCCAAATACTTAAAAGACAGTTTTATGTTTCTCAAATTATGTTGACTTGCGGCTTTTTGAAAGGAAGTGTAATGGAATTCAGTTCTTTGAGCAGTAGGAACTATAAAATATATTATTAATAAACTAGTGTAGCAATATACAACAGAGCAGCTTTAACAGAATCCTGGGAGTCATCATCTGGAGCTACAGTAAATGCAAAAGGCATGACTTGCACTTAGAACTACAGTATCAGGTACCTCTGAGCACATTTTAATCCTAGGATTTTCTTCAGTATCAGAACCCAGTTGACTTTATGCTTGAACTTTGTGCTTGGTTATTCAAAATGTTCTGCCTTTCCAGTCTAATTTGGGCTGGGGGTGGATGGGTATAATTTTATTCCCCCAAAGATCTACCTGTAGATCCTGATACACCATCTGCCCATCCCTGGCACAGAACCTGAATGCCTCCTGTGAGCCTATAAACTCATTCAAAATTCTTCAACCCAAGTTGCCCTGAGACCAATCTGGTGACTTCCCTTACGCTACAGTGTCCCTGGAGAACGTGTTGCTGGACGTGAAGGAGCTGGGGCGTGGGATGGAGCTGATTCGGCGGGAATGCAGTTTACACGAACATAGTATCCTGCGTAACTTCTTGAGTGCCAATGAGGGGAAGTTGGACCGACTCCAGAAAGATGCTAAGACTGCAGAGGTGAGTGGAGGGGCAACCGGATGGCAGGGATTAATGGAGAAAAGTCTTCAAGAGCTTGCAACCAAAGCTTTGCTTCTCTGTGCTGCTGAATCACTCAAGTGCATGAAGTTGGTATATGTACTCCATATACTGAGTGCACACCAGACTATGTATGAAAATCTTGCTATGTGTGATTTTGCAGATACATTTAGTGCCAGACTGGACAAAATCCACATTTGCTCAAGTATTTGTTCCTGCTCATACTCTTGTGCAGAAGGTCAGATTTATGTGAAGAAATTGATGCCTTTTCATTATTATTGTTGGAAAATGCTGGTCTGTTGTGCAGACTAAATTACACACAGCAGAGGTTTGGGTTTGCAGGGCTTGTGTAGAGGTGGTGGTTTCAGCGCTCAGGCCTGAAAGTACTGGCAGCTAGGCTTGACAGCCTTCTCATTCTACAGCAAATGTGAAGGCAAGACAGAAGCTACTATTTCATTCGCCCTTTTTTCCTGTTGTGATAGGAGGCCTACAACACGGTTGTGCGCTATTTTGGTGAGAGCCCCAAGACGACACCGCCCTCTGTTTTCTTTCCGGTCTTTGCACGTTTCATCAGATCCTACAAGGTGAGGGTTGGGAAATGGAGATTCTAGATCAGTGTCTTTCAATTCCCCATGCTGGCTGGGGAATTCTGGGAGTTGAAGTCCATACCTCTTAAAGTTGCCAAGGTTGAAAGACACTGATCTAGATGGCTGCTTTAGAAGCAACAGAACTGCATGCTTTATCCTGCATGAATTTGGGAGCCCTCAAATCATCATCAGTATCTACCACTGAGCTCTTCTTGACATGATCCAAGAGAAAGCAGCTTTGGCTGGGACTAGGCATGGCCAGTGAATAAGGGAATTAGTATTTCCTCCCTGCATGGTCCAACTAGTCTCTTTCCACTGATTGAACAGCACCTGTGCCAGGCCTTGGGTGACCACTCCTCTCACCCAAGCAGCTTTCCAAAATGTTAGCCTCCCCAAAGCATCTTCCAGAGCAACTATCGTCTGCATTAATCGCAGACTTTTCTCCCTTGCTGGGGGAAGCCATCACAGGTCTAGGTTCATTGCTGACAAGCCCAGCCCAGAATGCCTGTGAAAGAAGAAGAGAGTGGCAGGCAGGTTGGCAGGGAAACCAGATGGAGGGGGAGAGATGGTTTCTTTAAGTGAAAATGCACTCAAGTCAGGGAGTGCAATGAGCCTGGGCCTTTATGGAGAACAGTGGCATAGAGCTAGCTCTCTTATATCACTGGATTCCTAGGGAAGGTCAGGAAAATATAGGTCAGTGGTATTAATATTAATATCCCAGCTTAAACTGCTCACAGTTGTTTCTCTGAGTAGTGATTCCAATGGAATAGAGAATCAGGGCCTGATGTATTCACATAGCTCTTGCTGCAAGCGGAGGCCCTTGAGGGAGCCACGTGCCCTTTCAAAACTTGTTAGTACATTTATCATGGCGAGGCCTTTCCTGCTTCATCTGAAACAGACACAACAAAGCAAATGTACTAGATTACCAGACCTAGGTTTGTCAGAAATGGGGTCAGTGATTCACTTTAAAAAGCCTATGTTATAGGGAAATAGAAGAAAGTCTTCTTATATAGGAGTAGTTTGACAATTGAGGTTTCCAAGAAAAAACAGGAGAAATGCCTGCCATGAATTTCCTTAGCCTTCTTCAGCCTGGCATCTTCAGATGTGTGGAATTACAGCTGCCATCAGTTCTGGCCAGATTAACCCTCTCCTACAATGGCCCATTGAGGTGCAGGTAAAACCCACCAGGTGTATTTCATAGGGGAACTTGGCTTTCCACAGTCTGGACCAAATGTTCTTGCCTGCTGCCCATTATTTGGCTATATAAATGGTAATAACCATATGAAGAAAGCCAGGGGTTCAGGGATAAAGTGTTTTTTTAACAGAAAACACACACACACACACACACTAGAGATAAAGTACTTGCTCTGTACGCAGAAAATCTCAGGTTCAGTCCTAGCATCTCCAGATAAAACAATCTGAGATAGCAGTTGGGCTGGAATAAAAGTTGTCCAGTCTGAGACCTTGGAGGACCAACTGCCCACTGGAATAGGTCCAGTTGAGCTAGATTCCATCTTTATGTCCACTCTGCTTGCCTGGTCATTGACCAGGTACTTCTCTACCCCACAGTTGCACTGTTCCTTCTCTTTCAGGATGCAGAGCAAGAGAATGAACTGCGCAAGAAGCAGGAACAGGCCCAAAGGGAGCAGGCATTGGCCCAAGAAGCCAAGAGGCTGGAGAAGGTAAGAGGCAAGACATTATCTGGTATGGTCAGCAACAGTCAGAGGTGGGGTGTCAGCTCCCAGGAGGACTCCTCCATCATTACGTCTCAGGGACTTTGGTACATCTTCAACTTGCTTGTAATATATTTTAGCTTGGAGGTTCTATCGTCAGAGTATCAGCTGCTGTTCTTGGGTGTTGTCTCAGGAGAGAATGGAAGGGCATCTAGCAAAGCATGGGATGCTTCACTGGAAGAGACGCAGCATGCACCATCTGGACTTGCTTCTGCAATGGGCATTTTGTTAGGTTTCTGCTTCTGGGTTTTGTGGCATAGTCATTGGTTCCTCATTAAAGCGGTGCTACCTTCCCATGGTTTTCTATCAATGGTGGGGTAGAAATCATCAGAAATATAGCTATTTCAGCCTGGGCTACCTACTTGTCTGAAAATCTACTCACAGGGAAAGAGTCTCGGCCTTCTGATTCCAGGGGCAGACATAAACCTCTCCTTGGTGGTAGAGTGTCTTGTGAAGTTGCTTGTGCAGGGTGTTAGTCTGATGTTAGTCTGTATTTGACATCAAAGTAGATAATGCCAGTCTGGTTGGACATTATCTGACTCAGTTATGTAGTACATCGTGTTGTGAATGAAAGAAAACAGTAGTGACAGGTTGCGTGGACACATGGTAAATCCCAATTTGGATTTCTGGATGGCTGTACCTGCTTTTGGGTCAGTCACAAAGCAGGATGTGTGGTGGCCAGGCTGGGTGGTGTCTTCTGCTTTTTTCTCTTAATCCTTGACCAGCCCCAGTTGTCTTTGCAGCGCAACAAATGGCAGCAGCAAGAGTTAATTGCTGAGCTGAGGCGGCGCCAAGCCAAGGACCACCGGCCTGTCTATGAAGGCAAAGATGGGACCATTGAGGATATTATTACAGGTAACTCCTGTTCCTGGCATATTAATTTCCTTTGCTGGGCTCAGATTCTTCCAGGGAAAATTTCACCATGGTGCTGGAAAAGGAAGAAGGAGATCTGCCACTTACAGCATACTTGGGTAGTAGGGTCCTCTTAACCCTATCCCAGGGCCTTTCTAATCCTCATTACCCCTTTATTTATTTTTGTATCTTATGTAATCTCTGTGAGAACTGAAGAAGAAATGTTTGAACGTACCAGCATCTCTCGTTCACTCCACTGTGTCCATCCGTAAAGTAAAATAACAGCAATGACAGTGCGTGTGGTGGGCTCTTAAATACTCTTCTTCCTAACAACTGTGAGAGAATGCATACAGAAGACTTATTCTAGTTTCAGTCAGAATAAGGGTTGTAACAGCTGAACCTAAGAAAAGAGCAAGATGAAGTTCTCAGAAACACAATTGCTCTGTTCAAGGCCAGCTTTGGTGCCTCTTCAGGGTAGGAATTGTTGGCCCTATCCTGGTCATAGTTCCACAGTACAACTAGTAATAAATCAGATGCCAGTTGTAGTCCCTTCAGTGCAAAAGAATACAAGGAATAATTTCAGTAGCCTTGACAATGTTGCTCTCTTGCTGCACGTAGCATAGTAATGCATTCCCCCAGTAATGCGTGATCTGTCATGTAGACAGGTAATCCTTGCTTAACAACCACTTGTTCAGCAACTGTTCAAAGTAACAACAGTGCTGAACAAGTGGTTGTTAGGACCAATCCTCAAAGTTATGACCATTGCAGCGCCCCTGCGGTCACATGATCGCAATCCGGGTGCTCAGTAACTGGCCTGGATTTACAACTGTTGCAGCATCCCCGCATCACACAATTGCAATTTCCAACCTTTCCTGCCAGCTTCCCACAAACAAAGTCAATTGGGAAGCTGGCAGGAAGTCAGAAATTGCAATCACATGAGGTCCTCGCTTAACGACCCGCAGTGATTCGCTTAACGACAGCAATTGGAGCCTGTTGGGATTGCTGTCACTGAGCGATGCAGTCACATGATGTTGCGGTTTACAACCTCATTGCTTAGTAATGGAAATTCTGGTCCCAATTGCTGTCTTTAAGTGAGGACTACTTGTACCAGAGATGGCCAGCCTCAGTAGTCTTGAGTGGCACCCTGTTGTCTGGGTAGTGGGGCCAGAATTACAGGTAGTCCTTGTTCAGCAACTGCCTCATTTAGTGTCTGTTTGCAGTTATGACAGTCATGAAAGAATTAACTTTACAACCAATCCTCACATTTACGACCTTCGCAGGTCTGTAAGCACAGTTGTGGTTTTGCTTAGTAACTGCTTCGCTTAACAACCAAGTTGCCAGTTCCAATTGTGATAGCTAAACAAGGTTTACCAGTATATTTTAATGTATGATTTAACCATCTTACATTGAGTCAGGCTTCAAAATCATGCAGGCCCCAGACTAACAGGGGAATAGGTTGATTTAAGATGCATTTCAGAAAACACCCATCCTGAACAAAAGCATGGTTGAATCAAAAAGCCCAAGAGAGCAGTGAAACCAATGGCTGAGGCTTCTGTGGCAACAGTTTTGTAGGCAAGAGAATTTCTGCACGTGCAACTTTTCCAGCCCTGCCTGACAAAACTGCTTCCCTTGCCTATATTTTCAATAAAGTTCCAGGAGTTTCGTTCCCTTTAGCGCTTTTTGTCACTTTCTGGGGATCAGTAGGTGTCCTACCATGAGTCAACTGTTGGGCTGCTAAGTCTGGGCTACAGAAATCTGCCCAACCCCCAGATGGTGGCAAAAATCCTGACGTCTAGATTTTTGCAGCTGAGGTCTGGTAGGCCTGATCAGTTGCAGTCCCTGGCAGCAGATGGCCTTAAAGGCCTACTTTACTGTGTGTCCCAGAGGCCCACAGCTCTCTCCTTACCACCCATCTTATTCTGCTGCTTCCACATCACTACAATTTTAGGCCTTGAGATGGTGAGCAACTGCTGTGAGAAGAGTCTCTGGCTGATCAAAGAACTGCCAAAGCAGCTGCCGCTCAGCTCCTACAAGGGGTTGTAGGTGCTCCCCAAGAAGTCTGACTTTGGAGTCTTCTCAGAGCAGCTGCTGAGAGCTTCATATTAACATGAAGGAGTGGCAGCAGCCATGGGGGTACGGAAGGTGCTGTTAGCAGTAGTCCTGATTGCTGAGGTCCCCCCTCTCCTATCCTGTGTGTGAGAAGTATATGTTTGTGTGGGTGAGTGTGTGTGTTGGAGAGAGAGTGGGGAGGAGAGAGAGAAAGAAAGACAATGAGGATGAAATGGAATGAACTGAGTGTCTCCCAGACCACCCACCTGAAAGGTGTTAAAATCAGACTGTCCTATCATGCTTGCAGTGTGCATAAACTTGCTTATTAGGGCAAGAAAAAAAACAGGGCAGAGGGCAAACATTGCTTTTCCCCTCTCTTCTTTGGGAGCAGGCAGGCAAGCGGAATGATCTGTTTCTCCTGTGCAGAGGATGTCTTCCAAGCCAGCTCTGATGTGATGGAATCTTGGCTTGGCTGCCTGCCCCATAAGAATGGAAACGCCAGCTCTCGAGCGCTGAGCGCATCCCTTTTGGCGGCTGTGGCCTTGTGGTCCACGGTGTATGTCTCTGAGTGCCATTACAGACCATTTGTATAGTAAGCTGTGCACTGCATATCGAGCAATCTGATGTCTGTATGTCTCTGTCCATCCTTCCCCTCCCATCCCACAGTGCTGAAGAGTGTCCCCTTCACTGCCCGCACAGCGAAGCGGGGCTCTCGCTTTTTCTGCGAGCCATCTCACCACGAGGAGCCCAACTGTTAGCTCCACTCACCCCCCATCAAAGGTACCCACTCTGCAACGCCAGTTGCTCCTCTTCCGCATGCAGCTCCTCCTCTCCCACGGAGCCTGAGAATCTCCTCTTGCGTGCCTTGCCGTCTCCTCCCATGGGCTCAGGGCTTCTCAACGTCTTCCTCTCGATCTGCTCCTCTTCCCCAGAACCCCCCCTCTGTGCAGGAACAGAATCGCCCTGTGGAATTGGCCACATTGCTTAGAAATCCCAACAGCAGCTGATGCCGCTGGGAGCTGTTCTGCCCTCAGTGCCCCGGAGCAAGTCGGGGGTTGAGCAAAAGAAAGGAGAACTTCAGCAGGGACAGCTTTACCATCTCCCCACATGATGCCCTGCCCTTGCCAGAATCCCTCCCGCCAGGCCCTTATGGGAAAGATTCCATTTCCCCTTTGGTGTTGGGTCAGACCAGTGCCTTGATTATCATAATTACTCATTTTCAGATTTCTTTCCTGCTAACTTGCTAGTAGTTTTGAAAGGAAGTGCTAAATACTTGTAAGCCACCTACAGTCACTTATACAGTGAGATGGGCGGCATATAAATTTGATTAATAAAATATAAATAAATAAAAATAAAAAAAAATAATATCGACTTTAAAAGAAGCACCGAGCCCTCCTAAAAAAAAATGGTTGATGCCCCCTTCCCCTTCACTGTTGAGAATCCCTGCACAGACTCAGAGGGAGCATCCTGTATCTCTTATTCCTGCATGGTTGGCATGGCAAAGTTACCCCGGACATCCTCTCATGATTGCATGTTTCTGGCTTTAGTCTGTTCCCAGGATCACCTTATCACACTAATACGGTATAGTAGCTTACTAAATCCACCCTGGGTTTAGAGGGGCTGGGGCTGGGGCTGGGGCTGGGGCTGGGTAGCTGGTTCAAGGCTGCTGCTGAAATACTCACTGGGGATGGAAACGGCATCTGCTAAATGCATAATCAAGAAAGCCATCACAACACTGTCCCCCAAACCAGATTCTGCTGGACTTCAACTGGAGGCCAAAGTGTGCTGGTGGCAAATTGTTTTGCTAAAGTTAGACTGCATCAGTTCAGACTGCAGATGCAGGATCGGTATGTTTTAAGTATTCACTTAGGACAAAGTATCCTCCTGCCATGAAGAAAAAGAGTGTGCTGGGGTAACTAAGTTGAAGCATTTGCTGTGACTTTCTAGCCTTCAGCTTGATCATTGGGATTCTAGCCCTTGACTAGAATGGATGCTGATTGACACCAGTCAGGCTTAAACTCGTATTTCTACTCGATGCAGCCATACAATTAAGTGCTCGCCTCATAGCCAAAGGAACAGGTTAGTAGAAGGTGAACCAGATGGCAGAGAAGGGACGAAGAGCTCTGGTCTTTGACACCCACTGTAGAAATACAGCAGGCTATTGGAGGAGAGGAGGGAAGCATTTTCTTTCCCTTTTCTGCCACCCAGCTCCCAAGGCGGTCTCGAATGGAAAGGAAGGAAGAGAAGGAAAGCGATCTTAGTCATGTCCAATTGAGTCCCTTTGAGTTCAGGGCAGTTCACGCCCAGAAAACAAAGTAAAGGATTGCAGCCTAAGTTTGTGTTTTTGAGAAAGAGGAGCCGAAACTAGCATGATGAATGTCCTGGCTTGTGGCTTGCATAGTTAATGAATCCACTGATCTTCCAGACCACCTGCTGAGTCATCTTTTGGCTGAGCCTGCTTTTGAATCGAAAGAGGCAGAAAAACGCTTCCGATTTCTGAAGGAACCTCTTCAGCGTTTTGTCTTTTTCCATATAAGGACTGACTATGCAAAGTGGGCCCAAAGCAGAAAAAGTTAAGACAGAGTCTCACTAAAAAGAGGGAAATGAAGTCCCTTAACGGAGTTCAGGTCACAGCTGATGGGAAAGGCCCCTCCTCAGCTTGAGATCTTAGGCTGGGCTAGTGGGCTAGGTCTGCATCCCTAATAAGCAGCATGCAGTATGATGATTATGAACATCCAGGCAAATCTGCACTTCAGATCTGGCCCTAAGCTTAGGAGTTGGCCTTGTGTCAGTTGCCCTCTTTCTCCTTCTGTGTCTGCAACAGGAGGGGAGGTGATTCTGAGCTACTTTTCAGGTTCTTTTCAGATTGTCACAATCCAGCAAACAAGGCCCAGTGGGCAATATTTTTCCAATCTTTATGGACTCCTAGAATGTCTTGTGTGGATAGAAAATAGCTTCTCTTCTCCTCTCCATTGCCTTGATTTGGCCTAATTTTTGTTCTTATTGTCTCCATAGCAGCAAGAACCATTTGCCTCTAGTTCCCCCTCAATTCATCCACAGCAGTGGGTAAGAAGACAGCTCTCTGAAGTCCTGGAGCCTAATTTCTGCTTTGCTGCCTACATGGGATACCAACAAGCAAACATTTGTACTTGGGGCACAAAGTGAAGAGATAGCCTTGGCAGTTGCCCATCCCCAACTGATATTTTGCTCACCACTTCCTTCTGGTGGAGGAAGGTGGAAGTCTTGTCTTCTTTTTAGACAAGAGGAAGACATCTATAAGGGGAAGGTGTTGGCTCTTGTATGCTTTCTGTAAAGCCAAATACTTCCCTGGGGGCTGGGGGGTTTAGCCTTGGTGGGTTGTGAAAGGTCTTCTGGGGACCTGAGCAGTGGTTTTGCCATCTGCCTTCTTCCACCCCTGTGGCAGCTAAACAAACTAATTTCAGACACCATCACTAGCTCTCCCTTGCTCACGGACTCCCTGGGGATGCTCAGCTTCCTTCCTAACAATTATTTTTCCTCCGGTAGATTCCTACATGCCCTGCCTTTCCAACTGGCGAATGCTGCACTCCGGTGGCCCAGACCTTGTTCTTTTTTGCCAAAGAAGCAACTTCCGTTCTTTCAAAGACTTTCAACTGAAGGATCCAAGGGACATTTAAGAAGTGCCTTCTGCGACAGTATTATTCTTACTCTCTTATAATTTAAGATGTATTTTTTAATCTGTACATACATGATCCTTCCTACCAGTCCCTTGCTCCTGCTGCCCCTCACGGAGTCAACTCAGACAGATGGGACTGTTCTGGCTTTTGAGAAGGGCCTCGGGCCAGCAGGAGCCTGACACCCTCCTCTAGCGCCTCAAGCTTCAAGCATCCAAACCAGAATTGCACTTTGACCTTTCAACTTGTCTTTAATGGATGGAGACAATGAGCACTATCATTGCTAGGCCCTGATGTGTTGCAGCAGGGAAAATCAATCTCTGGTAGTAGGCCTTTGTATACAGATCAGGTCTTGTGGAAAAGCATTAGTTTTTTTCAGGCGCGGTCTTCTGCAATTGTGTGGTTTTCTCAGAACAGGCTGGGAGTTGGCACTGGGGAGTTTAACAGCTAGGCCTTGGTGGCCTTGGAAAACCACTGGAACCTTTCTTCCAAAGGGAAAATATAATCAGACCAAAGTCTTATGTCTCAACTGGACAAAAGTAACTGTGTTGATACAGCAGGGAAATTATACTGACTAGCCAGCCCTTGGGGATCTCAAGAAAAATCCTGGGTAGGTTACCGGCTATCTCAATGTTTTAGAAAGTCTTACAATTTTCCAAAGGATCAAATTCTGCTTCCTATTTGTATGTGGCATGTTCTACTCAGTTCTTTTTACAGTTGGTGGACCAAATATTCTCCAAACGAAATCAAGCAACGCTTCTTGAAGCCTTCAAAATAAGCAGAAATTAAGTTACTTGTGAAGGTTATCCCTGATGAATTTAGCCCAAGACATTTTGATTCATGAATGAAATGGAGACTGTTTTAATTCATTAATGAAGGATGAAAATGGCATTGTTCCCCACCATCAGAGAAAGAACAATGGACAGAATTCACTGAACTTCTTCAGTGTAAGCCTTTTGAAATGAAGGGAATTCCTCATAATTTCAGGAAATCCTGCACTGAAGAACTTCTCTATAAATATTACCTCATGGCTGGATTGATTCAACCTAGTAACTGAATTAACCCATTTTCTGGATTTGTATAATATGTTGAACCAGAAACTATGGGATAGGATCACATAGCTTGCTAAGCCACAAAAAAGCCTAGTTGAGGTGAAGGCTAACCAAACTTAGCAATTTATGCCAATGTAGCAACTGAATCTTGAACTAACTTGTTTATGAATACTGTGTGAGCCAAGGGATTGAACTCATTGATCTCCCACTCCTCCAGCTTTAAGGTTGTTCATAGATAGCTGTTTCATATCACTACAGGTTGGAACCATCTCTAACTCAACATACATTTGCAATAATTATTATGCTGATTGAAACTAGGCTTACCATTTCAGCCGTGATGCTTTGAGACAATCAAGTCTAGCTTCTCTTAACTTGCCTGAAAACATACCTTCCAACCAAAGATTTTGAAGTATTACAGCTTAGGATAAAGCCATTTGACATTGATTAGGTTCTTCAACTGCTTTTAATTCAGAGAACCAACTTGACTCCTTTTGTGTTTTATGGCACTTTTTGCAGCTAGGAAGTAAATAGGGTTAAAAGATGCTTAAATAGACCAGTCTTCAACTTGGTGCCATCCAGACATGTTGGACTACCCTTTCAGTTGAGTCAGCATGGCTGATTTACTTGGAGAACATCAGGTTGGGGAAAGTTGATACAAAGCTTAATCCACCAAAGAGATCTTTAGATGGAGCTGGCTCCACTCTAGTATTATGAAGCTGTCTCTGCTTCTGAAGCCTAATCTAGAGGGGATCTCTTACTATTCTCATCTTATGGAAGTTTATGAACTATGATTTTAGCTTTACATAAGAGCATTTGCATAACAGATTGCCCCAATATGATGTGGCCCTTATCAGATGGGAAGATAATTGGGATTACTAAACAGCTTTGATGTCCTGGTCAATTACACAAGAGGTCTATTGGATCAGGCACACCTGAAACTATAGAGCATTCATCTCGCTGAAAGTATCCTCTGCATAGACTTTCTGTATTAAACTGTGCCAAAGAATTACATTGGTTCCTGCAAGTAATCCAGTGCCTTATGCTGAAACTGGAGGTGGGCTGCATTGGGCCCTCCAGGGCCTTTGGTGCAGCCCTCCATGAATGTACTCAGCCTCTTTGATCATGCGTTTTTTACTTATGTTGTAATAGCTGTTTATTCTTCAGCGTCCTCTCAGTGTAAAGGGTACTTCTGAACTGAGAGGGCTCTATGGTTGCTCAGTCTGCTAGGAAAACCAGGGCACGGGTTGTACTCTTGTTAAATCAGGAAGGGGAAAAGGATGTCTTCTGAACTGCCCAGCAATTTTAGTTGCACTGAGATTGCTGAGATGGGAGACTTTGTGGTGTGTGCACTGAGGTGGATACAACTAGGTGGGTGTAGCCTTCATCCATGCAGCCCTCAGGACCACAAAGCCTCAGCCTGTGCACCCAACAAAAGTGTGGCTCTCTGGCAGGTTTAGCACTCTTGTTAGATTTCTGACTGTGGATCTGAATCTTGTCCCTAAGGCCTGTGGTTTAGGAGATGGCTCTGCATTCCAGGGGAGATCAGTGGCTCTGCCAAGCACATGTTTTGCACTGGCGAAAATTCCAGGCTCTACCCTGAGAATGATCTCCGGTAGGAGGCTGGGAAAAATAGCTTTCTCTGTGATTCTGGAGAGCTGCTGCAAAAGCTGAGGGTGCTGGGTAATGCGAGGCCAGTGGTATGGCTTTATGATGCTTTCCTGCACATAAAGGGAGGGCCACTTAGGAGAGGCACAGGACTGCAGCCTTAGGATGAGATTCCCCCCAAAGTTTAGAACAGGGCACAACAGAGGTGAATGGATTGTACAGTGTTGGCACTTTGCGGAATGGAACTCTTGATTCCTTTTCCTTCCTCTCCTTCCCTCCCTCCCTCCTGTTCTTCCTTTCCTTTCCTTTCCTTTCCTTTCCTTTCCTTTCCTTTCCTTTCCTTCCTTCCTTCCTTCCTTCCCTCCCTCCCTCCCTTGCCACATGTTAGACTTCCTCATTCTATTCCTTCTGTGACAGTGTATGGAAAAAGGTTTTTTGGCTTTTATTTCTGGCCTCTTGATATCAAAATCTGATTTTGAGTAAACTCTCCTCAAACATTAAACACGGTATTCAAAATTCTAGTATCATTTGGAGGAAATTAGCAATATGGTTAAGATATAATCTCCCACTAGCCAAATAAGTATTAGCTATCTCTACTTTGGAGGAGTGGGGGAATTATGCTACATTATAATCACTTTGGGTTCTCTCAATCAAAGATGTATCTGCCTCTTAAACCTGTGAACACAAGTTAAATTGTGACTAGCCATCTTTATGGACTATTGATAAAGATCCTTACCTCTTCATCCACTGCAGTGTTTATAAATACAAAAACCACTGGTTTAGGGACACTTCCACTGAAAGCAATCACATTAACCTGCTTAAAAGGGGTTATGTATCTAAACCCCTAAAGTGATTATTATAATTTCATCAATGTATAACTCTGTTCCTGGCCTCTGTGGTTATCTTCTCTGTGTGCCTTGTTGCAAAGAGCAAAACTAAATATGCCAAGGAAACTGGCACTCCCCCGTTTCCACCCATTCTTGATGGGATAAACACAGAATGGGTGGGACCTCTACACCCTTTCTGCTTATTCCTGATAGCGTTGTCCTAACCTTAGTGCTCTTTCTATGTATTTGCACTCCTGACCCACTAAGCAAACTACGTTAAGAATTGCCTTGCTGGTTGACACACAAAATCCTATTCCCAATTGTGGCCATCCAGATGTTACCTAAAAGCTCATGGCTCTATGTTTACAATCCTTAATCAAGCCTTGTGACTAGTAAAATATTGTTTCAGATGCCCACATGCCCTCTGAGACCAGGCAGTAAAAGAGCTAAACTACAAAGATCCTTGTACCTGTATGTATGGGATTGACACAGGCGAATAGTGTGCAGGATTGACTGAGAAGAGTAAGTTAAACAATGAGATCGTGGGGACCACAAGCAGCCAAACTTGTGAACATGTGCCAAAAGGAAGCATGACTGGAATCTAAGAACATTGGATTGGAACATTTGCTAGGTAACATCTTGGTGAGGGCTGAGAAGTGAGCAATGCATTCAAGGTCAGTCAAAAAGCTTGAGAAGGGCTGCCTTATTCTCAAGCCCTTGGACAAGGGGTGTGAGCAAATTGGAAATAGCGTTGCAAAGGTTTGGGGGTCAGCATTATCCCTAGGTAGCTCCTCTAAAGGCAGCTTTTCAGCATGGTGCCCCAGGCAGAGCTGTAAAGCTCATGACATCAACACCCATGCAGTTATTTGGTTCAGGGTTTCTTCACTCTCAGTTACTACTTTAACTACTTAGCTGAGCTTGCAAGGAGATCCAGAGACCAAGGACTCATTCACACCTGGATGCTCAACACCATCATGCGTGTTTTTAGGTTGCTTTCCCATATTCACTTGGAGATAAATCACCCTGAACACAACAGTGTCGATTTTGAAGTAGGCTGGCATAGAGTTGCATTGTGAATGCGAACCCAACGCATCATCTCAAATGATGGCCTAAAGCCATACATTGATTGTATGAACATGCATATATTTTGCGTGACCAATGCGTCCTAACTTTAATAGCACCACAGCTTATTCCTTACAGAATGACAAGAGCTTTATACCATTCCTTCATCCAAGGGGCTCAGGGTACTGTACTGTATGCAGTTATTGGAGACAACCAACAGGGCAAATTATGCCCTGCTTCTGTGCTTCCAAGATACATCTGGATGGCTGCACTTGGCAACAAGATGATGGGTGTCTCCCTGAGAGATGTCTACAACAAAGTGGTCCTCTTCAGAGAACAGTGGCATTGTAAAAACAATCAATAAAAGCAAGGCATGCACAATTTTCTAGAGGACATGCTACAATCAGTGGCCACTGGACTTTTTGCCTGGCACAAGGGCCAAGCATCGTGGCTTCCTGCTGTGGTGCAGCCAAAGGCCAAAAGATGCTCTGCCCTTCAGAATATTTGCTTTTTCTAGCATGAGAACTTAAGATCCAGCTCCTAAAATGAAAACCAGCAAGTGTGAAAATGTCCTTAGAAATAAGAATGAACCTGACACTATTTCAGTGCTAAGTGGAAAGCCCGGGGAGAAGGTTGGGGTTGTAGCCACTTTGATTTCTGGAACAAACACTAGTATTTTCCCCCAATAAACCAAATGGGACCAATTCTCCTCTGCCTTCTCCCAAAAGTTTTTGACCCTGTTAATGGCAACGCTAATTCCAAGCAGGCAGGGTATTCCTGCTATTGCTTCTGGACCGTTTACAGCATATTCACTTCAGCGTAGTCCTTTTGTGTAGCTAGATGTAACTTTTTTGTACATGTGAAAATTATTGACTATACTGTAAGCCAGTGCCTTCCTCCCTCTTGAACTGTACAGAATTTCTACTAATGGGAGAAGGGGAAAAATAAAACAGAACCAAAGCCTACATACCTTTGCATTTGTGGTCTATGAATGTGTCTTTTTGCTTCCCTGGTTTGCATTCTTCTTCCCCCAAACTTACACTGGTGCTTATTTGAGAAATGCTGAATGGAGCACGTTTGTGGGCTTTGAGAAAGCTATTAAAAGGGCCAGAGCTGACACCACCACCCTGCTTTCCCTGTCTCTGGATGTGTTTTTGAATTTCTTGGGATTCCTAAGTATACTTAGAAAAGAGGTCTGAAATTCTCTAAAGGTCACTTTCACCTAAGACCGCCTTCTACAAACCAGAGGTCACAGCCATATCTAGTGGATTGGGAGGACGTCTTTTGGGGAACGGTTGGTTTAAGAAAAAGGAATTGTAAGGAAACAAGTGGAAATAATCCAAGTGCACATAATAAACTCTAGTACGCTGTAGTAAGTACAGAAGTATGGCATCCACCAGCTAAAAATGTGGAAATCAGCAAACTGATCAGTCTTGGTAGTTCGTTTATTCACACAGTTACTATGGATGAATGTCATACTCACTTTATATATACCCAGCATGGCTACTTCGCCACATGTACCAACTTGGGATATTTGCATATCCTCCCTTCTCTTTTTAGGTGTATACATGCCAGCATACCTTCAAGTCTTCCGTTATGGTGGGGATTAGAGGCAACCATAGATCCAGTCCAATAGGTTATGAAAACACTCTGAGCTTTTTCCTAAAATAATTTGGGACCAATTTCATATATAAACTAATTCCCTACAGGAGGCCACAGAATGGTATTTTCCGTCCAGATTTATTATAAATATTGTTTTAAAAATTCCATCAAATCCTCAACTCACAAGGGGATACTGCAACCAGGGGAAAGGATCCAGTCACAGCGATAACCTTCCAGAAGACCATGTAGCCCATCCCTGTCTCCAGACCACACAGACCGGACAGGGCTGATACTGCACCTTAGCTGCTTCCTGCCATTTTGGATCTAGGCCAAGGAGGCTCCGGGCTAGTGTGGCCCTGGTGAAGTCTGAGTGGAGACAGACATCGATCATTCTGGTGCTTGGTTGCAATTCCCCCAGTCCTCTTCTGGGTGGATCCAGGAGCCGGGTTTCAATTTTGGTGATGCTCTCCAGGTCCACATGGGACACCTGATCTTTCCTCCCTGTCCTGATGCTCAACGTAGACAGGTGGGGTCGCAAGAGATGACTGCCGCCAACAGGCAGGAGCAGCTGCTCCTCACTTAGAAGCAAGTGAATGTATTGAGGAAGGCTGTGGCCCCACATGTGGGTTCCAGCAAGAGCAGTGCATATGCTTGGCTTGGATGCCACCAAGGCCAAAAGAAGGCAGAGCTGCCGCAGGAACAAGGACTGAATACTTCTCATACATTTGTGTGGGGGGCACCTCGAAAGAGGCGGGGGTTATTTACTGGTCACCCAGTTGCTGCAGCAGAGTCCGACGCCGACGTTCCAGCTCCCCTTCGCTCAGCTCCTCGCTCTCTGAGGTGTCCCAACCACTCTGACAGGAGAAAGAGGGCAGGTGAGAACCCCTCGTCCAGCCTTCCATCCAAGCCTTCTTTCCTCTTTCCTGCCCTTCTCCAGCCTCCATGTCC